GCTTATTTATCGATGATAGTATCATTTACAAACCAATTCATTCATATATTGATTAACTACTTTTACAAAACGATCTCACAATAATAACCAAGTCATGCCAAAATAGCAATTGGCTTCAAATTTTCATAAATTTTAATAGCTCTTATTTTTACGCACTTCACAAAAGAAAACAAATAACCGTGATATCACCCAGTGACGCCTTGTTTATCAGGCAAATACCTGGAAATCCATCTTACCTCTGATCTATCATGGAATGCTCGCATAACCTCTGTCGTTGCTAATGCTAACCGTGCTCTCAAATGCTTAAGCCGTGACCACAGGCTAGCGACAACCTCTGTAAAACAACTAGCCTACACTACATTGGTGAGATCCAAACTGGAATACGCTTTCCCAATAGAGTCTTAATGACAATCATACTTAAGTAACACCCTAGAAGCCGTTCAAAATAGATCAGTTTGTTTCATTTATTGATTGCTCTCCAAATATTAACATATTAGGATTACACCGATCAGCTGACCTAGACTGTGTACACATTTTCTTTCAGCCTGAGTGTGCCCCGCCTCTCGCGACGTCATCAAATCTTTATCACAAGCTAGCATCTCAAAAACTCTTTGCTATCACCTGTTCACCGAATTTGCCGTCGTCTTGACGATTCTTGCAAATTATTTGCACTTTCATCGTCCACATTTTCTTATCAAATGTCTACATTACCATTGGCCATAAAAGACTGGAAGGCACTACCTGACCACATTGTTTCCAGAAAAAACATTATCCCATTTGCTGTCGCCACTACCCTCTTCCTCTCTAGCCTCCCTATATAGATTAGTGTTTTGTCCAAGTTGTGTTGATTTTTTATATATGCATGCTCAACACTTGTGTAATACACTTTTGGGTCTTAAAAAGTGATGATGATGATGATCATTACAATCGACGCAAACTTATTTTAGAGCTCAGCTCTCAAGCGCCCGTTTCCGGGTTTCGCGGCGTCGGCGTCGCCGTCGGCGTAACCGCCCAGCTAAATTTAGCAGGAAGTTTATTTGGTGTTGAGGTCGCGTGACGTCAATTTTCTCCTTAAATTTAGCGAGGAAAATGACGTCACATGAACTTTGTGCCACGTCAGCCATGAACAAATTCAGTTTCTCCGCTAGATTTATCGGGAAGACGGACGTCACGTGACCTCAACACCAATCTGAATTCTACAGAAGAGGAGGAGGGACATACCCTCCACTCCGTACCCTCCCCTCCTTCTCCTCAAGAGCTGCGCTCTAATTTCGCGTTACAGAGATTCGTAAACGTCTTTCATTTTCTTTTTGTATTACCCACTAGTTTTTTTCTGCGACTCAATATTTATTAGCGTCAATGTAGACGCTAATAAACACGAACAAGGTAAACATAACTTTTAGTGGTTATATTTGTCACTAGCCGCAAGTGTTGAGTTTCCGTCTCAATATTGAGTTTCTCGCTGCAGATTTCGCAAGAGGACAGAAATCGAGAAAGGTATACATTGCCCGACAGCCATATAATAAAACTGTCATGACACAACAAAAATGAAGTCAACATTACTAAAAAGAAAGAGAAAGAGAGAGAGAGAGAGGATTGAACAAACGTAAGATAAGATCGGTTGTAGACGAAGTGAAGAGCAAACTGTAGGAAAGTGGCAATAAAGTAAGGTTGCTATCGCTGGACCATTCGCAGTGACGTACTGCTATTGGGGGTTCTCCTAAAGGTACAAAAGCAAAAAAAAAAAAAGAAAAAAAAAGTCCATCTCAAAGGGGCCGTACCAGGTGTATTGAAATACCAGAGAAATGGAAAGAAAACCTTATGGTGACGACTTTGTTGCCGTGGATGGTGTGGCAACCCTATTTTTTGTTTTAATTTTGTCTTTTTGCCAAGGGGTCTCAGAAGTTATCGGACAACTGGCATTTCTTGTGTTGAAACTGGCATGTCTCTGCTCCGAACCTAGAGAAAATGGCAATGGTCTTTATACGTTTATATATTCTTCGTGTGAAATATATGTCCGAGTTCCTGCAGTCGCGTGCGAGCAGAAATTAAAAACGAACAAACTTTTTCACATTCTTTTATTGAATTCTGCAACCAGAAGACGAACTCGCTTTTGAAGAAATAAATCACGGCCCTCAATGCTTGTGTTTGCCCAGACTGATAGCCGAACATGACGAAATCAATCTTGCTACGCTTGAAATAATATTTTCGGTGCACTCGTTCCAGATCCAGAGTAAATAGTTTTCCATGCTTGTTAAGACCGCTCGTACCCTCTATTGACATATATAGTTGGAACTCGGGGTACTCGAGAGCTTCGAGCGACATCCAGCAGTATCCATGTTTGAAATGGGAGGATGCCGGTAGGAATGAATCAAATATTGCGGATGATGGGACGAATTTGGTGCACGTGCAGTGGGCGGATCTATAGGATGCAATTTCCAAAAGTTGCACAATAAATAGGGAAGTAAAGCATTTAGGTTCAGAAAAATGTAGTTGCTTAAGCCAAGGATTCAGGATGCTACGCAGGTTAGGTCTTTGATCTAGTTACGCCGTTGATCCCTTTTAATCGCACCGCTCTAATAAATTTGTGTGCGTTTGCTAATAAGTTATTTTGACTGGATTAGTTGCAGGTCGAGAACACTCAATTAATACCATGTGTTCTACCAAGAGGCAAGCATTTCGAGTAAAATTCTGAGTGTTGAAGGTTAAAGAATGTGTCGAATTGTTCGCCCTTGTTCTTACCTTCAGTTACGTTGAATCGAGACACACTTGTTAAGAGTCAACGCAATTTATGCGACCTGCCGATGATCATGTGTGGGCGCATGGGCGATGATCTTATTTTTCCAGATGTGACAGTCAACGCCAATTCGGCTCACGTCAAGCTTCATCAAAAGTGTACTGTGATTATGCTCGGGGCCAGTGTTTTTGTGGGTTGTCAAAGTTTACGGAAGGAGACGCGTGACATCATCATTCGATGAGATTCATTTCGCGCAAATGCATTTTTGTAAAAAAAAATGTTGAGATCTTGGACGCGTAAAAACGTTTAAAGAATTGTAAATTAATTATTGACACGGATACGTCAATAGTTAAATTAGGGTATGCGCATCGAGAAAGAATGCCCAATCTGCGGACGAAGGCCAAAGACACTGGTGGCAGAATTCTTACCCTCAAAGGGCTCTGCAAAAGATTTTATTGAGGGTTCCTGGTTGTGAGCGTTTATTGATAATAAGATTCCGAGGAATACATCCACGCCTATTTTTTGAAATATAAAATTTGTGTTCATTATTGTTGATGCTACCATCAAAAAAGCAGGTTCTAAAATCAATGCCACGAATGGCACAAAATATAAAGCGGCGTAAAAAAAGTTAATAAAAGTGCAAGAGTTTCAGTATAAGTATTCGAGGGCTGCAACTTAAAGTATTTGTGTAATATGTTTAACAACACCTTTCCACGGGAGATAAAAGTTCTGAGAAAGAAGGATCTCAGTATTCTTGCATTTGCCTAAGGTTTTGTGTGCTTACTGCAGCACAGTACTGCAGCATTAGAGTAGTGAGAGATTGATCTGGAATATCAAGTGCAATATACTTCATCGGTGAACTTACCAGATGCTGAAAGAATTTGATTCAGAAACAGATCTATAAATTTCGCCAGACTTGGAGATGTTTTGTAAAAATAAACAATTTATTCCCTTCCTCGGGAGTCATTCGACAAGCCTAAAAATGTAAGCGGTCAGGCCTATTTTGAAGCAATGAACTGAAGAAGACTTATAAAGCGATACACATAATTCTGTTTTAATGGTTATATTTATAATCACAAAAAAGCGCGCATATGGAGCGATTTCTTATTCTTGTGACAGATGCATTCTTTTCAAGTCTCCACCATATGAGTTTAGGATGCGTTGAAGCAAAACTGAGTCGCTGATAGATTTTGCACATTAGACGAACCACTACACATATATAAATATTCTTGTACTGAAGCTCTGTCTAGATTTAACTCAAGCATTTAACATGACCTACCACAAATTGTTTCCAAACCAACTAATAACCATAAAGTGTAAGGTTCAGCTTTGATTAGTTCCCGAGAGTTTTATTTATTTAGATTATTAAGGCGACCGTAATACATTGCCCATTGCCAACGGAGTACGACATCCTCCAGAAGAGTCTGAAAGCACACCTTTCCTATTAGTGTGGCTCTCTTCTTTTTGAACAATAATAAAATAACACATTAGGAAAGAGGAGGTAACCGTAACCGAAAACTTCTAAAGAGCGAAAGTACGCACGTATACAAAAAAGTGGGCTCTGAGGAACGATTCCGCAGTAACCTATGTTTAGAAAACCTCCCCTTAAAAAAAAATAACTAAAAAGGTAAGACGCGACTAGGCTAATAACCAAAGACGTCTTCAAGCAACAAAACTGTTTCCTCAGCGTCTTCCAATCCTTCTCATCTCTCCGCACAACCTACGCAATTTCACAATAGCACGCAACTTTGCTACTATACTGCTCCAGCCCCAAACACTAAAAACAAACTACGTAAAAAAAGGAGATTACACAACAAAATCTTGAACAAAGATCCTAATAATTCTTCCTTTCATCCACCCACGTCCCTATGCTCCTCCTCCCCCTTCCCCTTTCACCTTCGCTCCGCGTTCTAGACAATCGATACAACCGCACATGCGCACTGTACCCCACAGAGCCCAGTATTTTTTTTTACCCTCTCCCAATCGCACACGCCACCGGTGGAGACGTCCCTCTTTGGGTTCCATCGTAGCTTATGTCCACCTAGCAAATAGAAAGTGGGGTTCGGTAGCTCCTTGCACGTGCTTCATATCGGACAAAAGATCGAACATCGCTTGACGTGTCTAGTTGACCGTCACCTCCGCGCTGTTGCTTGTCGTCTGCAAAACAACGGCGGGTGTGCTCCGTCTGCTTCGAAAACTCATCCTGCAGCGCCATGGCCGACGTAGCGCTGGGAGCTGGTGCGTGGTTTTAAAGCACCGTAGGACGACTCCTCTGGATACTGTGCGATCCAGGTAAGAGTTTTGAAGGTCGTTCGGTGCTCGAGTGGACTCGTGAGCCGCAGTATGTTGTCTTTCTTATGCGCGTGTTTGCTTCACAGTGTGCACTATTGAATTATCTTATCGTCTTTAGTCGATGTTGTCGAATGACCAAGAGGTGAATTCCGTACCTACCTGTTGAGCGGCACTCGCCCTACTTGTTTATTCAGTCGAGAGAACTGGGAAATCTGACGCTGGTTCTCTATCGTTTTTTGCTTTCATGTTCTCACTATCGTGTTCTGTTAGATCATTCTGAATGCGGCAGACCATATAAATTATAAATATTGCTTGTTCTCCAAAAACTTTTAAAAGGTAGTTCGCCTTATTTTTTTTTCGCTAATTCATTTTGTGGTTTTTAGGCGACTGTTGCGTTCCTTAAAGCAATATTAGCCATGCAATCGGATTTATATGAACCGATTTTCTAAAAAATAAAGTAGTTGATGAGTGGAGTCTTTAGAATGAATGATTTCATCTGATGAGCGCTACTTCGTTCGATCGCGCACATAATTTACACAAAGGCTGCGATCCTGATAACACCTAAGAATTAAGAAATAATAATCTGCCGATTATGATGTGGATAGTAAACTAAATTCCTTTAGTGTATACTCGCTTTTATGAAGGGTGTTTGCAAGAAATCAATACTTTTCAATAGTTGTTTTGGTGTAGAGACTATCAACCTAATTGTCGCACTATAATTTTGTTTCAACAATTAAATTCTTTCAATCTCTATTATATATACATTACAGCGTAATTCTTAGCTTATGATTATTGACGGTCTAACGCAAAATTTAAGCTTTTGTGAGAAAATTAGATGTGACAAATTTAATTGGCAAGGACGTTTAGAAAGGGTAATACCGTCACCTTTGTAAAAACAAATGTCGGGTGCATTTAAAAAAAAATATTTGAAATACGGTTCGACAAAGAAAACAATTACTTCAAATTTCATTATTTAACTTTGACGAAAGGCGTGAGTGGTGATTAGAACCACCATAACAATAAACCATAAAATTTGTCAGACTGAATATAAATACTGCGCATATAAAAGCCCTGGATAACACAGACAAAAATGCACGATCCAAGAGTACCATTCAAACAAACATTGCAGATACACTTTATATGCAAGGTTCATTGTTTTCGGAGTTTATTTCTCATGCAATTAGGTGGGTGTTTTTCGGTGTTTATATTCAACTGAAGAATCGGGGTTTATCAAAGTTTATTTTGTTAGATTCCCAAGTCTTCCAGATTAGTAGTTTAATTTTACTACCGTAAAATCCCGGGAAATAACCCACCTGAATTCGAGAGAAAATTAGGTGAAAATAAGGAGTGGGCCAACTTTCGGTGTACAATCAAGGAAAGTTGAAAAAAAAATTTTTAGATCATGTCTCGGTCAAGCTTGTTATCTCGGCAAGGGGGAATGCAGCAAAGATTTCTGAACTTCCCAGTCAGCAATGTTCGCTTATATCCCGCCATAGCTAACTAGACACATTTACGCCAAGGTCATCATTGATCCCAACACTGTGATTACTAGGAGTGGGCTAACTTTCAGTGTTTAAAAGAAAATAGCAAATCAAGCCGAGAATTGGGGTGGGTTACCTTTCGGTGGTGGGGCATCTCTCGGGATTTTACAGTATGTCCTCAATTTTTTTTTTCATAACTACGCCTAAAAAATTAGAAACGTTTGGACACAAACATACCCGAAATTCATGAGAACTTACCTGTATTGCGTGATATGTGTGCAGCAGCCATTCGCATTGGCGGTTTGCCATTGGCAATATTAACTCTCCCGGCAACAAATATTGCAAAAAATTGTTGCCTCGGCAGCGTTCGACACTTTGAAATAATTGAACTCCTGAACGAAGTCGCCTGGGAATTATAAAAGCTTCAACTACCCTCCCCTCCTTTGCAATATACAAGTGCATAGCTATCGCTCTTATAAATCACCCCCCTCCTTCTTCCAAGAAGCACACAAATAGTATAATACAAAATGGAAAACTAAAAGAGGCTTCTGCCATGACCCAGAGGTAAATTGACCCATTGTCCTGAACAAACCTTGATGAGCGAAAACGTAAATCCCCTCTTGTCAGTAGCAATCCGATATTTCAAAGGAAACTAAAGTAGCTTTTACTTAACCACTAACCCCCTGCTCTTATAAAATGTATTCGTACAATAGTCTTTTTGCTTTTTGTGTTGCCTTCGTGGCCTCAAAATTCTATTTTTTTTTCCGGATAAATCCGAATGGATTCATATTTTACCAGCGAATGTTTTTCGATTTTCTTTTTCGGAGGTATTCGAAAACACGGATATATCCTACCGGACGCAAATCAGATAGCACAAATTCAACCAAACTGTAAGCGTTACAAAAAGAAAATTTGTTATTTGTTTGCTGCCAATAGAACAAACACATTACCGATCTACGTTACCTTAAAATACGGACTTTTAGAAAACCGTTACCGTGTTCCGCGTACAACACTAGTGGAGCCTTTAAAGCGTGCTTTTAAACGCACACCCGGAGCGACCCCGTGACTGTGGGGCGCGTGCTTTGCGGTTCGCTAAATGTCCCTAATAAACGAAACGCGTTACAGTTCCCGAAAAAAGTAACGCGTCCTACTTTACGTTACATTTTATTTCCGACCGTTTTACTGTTCTGAAGCATAAGAACTACACTCCAAGAAACATTATATCCACGCGGAAACTTAAAAATTACACTATATTTTTGGTTTTATATGGTTATGATTTGGAAGGTATGTGGGACAAGTGCAAAAATTCATGTTACTTGGCGCCCAAAAAAAAAACAGGCAAAAAATTTGAGTTCTTTTTTAAGGCTTGGGAAGATGTAACAAATAACGTAACTTTGTCACCTGCTACTCGAAATAAGTAACGTAAGGACGTCACTCGTTAATGTTTTAAACTTTGACGAGTAAGCTACTACGCTATCGAAAGTACGGTTTTAGGGAACCGTTTCTGCCTATCCGATACGGTGCGATGGGCCCTCCGGTACAAACTGCGCATGCGCGAGGCTTCTGTGGTAGCGCATGCGCAGTTTCTTACCGTATGGGATGTGCAAAAACGGTTCCCTAAAACTCCGTAGGAACCCGGTACCGGTAAGACGGTTACACGCAACGCGTTACTGTCAACACCGATATGAACGCCGCATCTAAAATCAGGCATTCATAAATTACTATTGCAAATTTAAGGCTTTGGCCCAAACACGACGTCAATAAAATGTTTTATTGCCTGTTAAACAAATGCGAAGCAAATATTCAACTGTCACTTCGCTAAAATATTTTACCTGGCATTGGTAATTCGAATTTATGATAGATGAAGAATATTGTATAGGTAATAAAGTGATAAATATTGAGACTCGTTTAATACATGATCTAATATTAAAATAAGGAGGCGTAGAGCTTCGCATCACATGATCAATGCAACGATTAATTTCTGAACTACAGCTTTTTAACTTCTTGCGATTAAGTTTTCTTCAAAATAAATTATTGTTCAAGAACACAGTTCTTTTTTAAACATACTTAAAATTAAATAACCTCCAAAAAGGCTCTCAATATCTTTTTTTCTAGCCTTGAGAACGTGTGATATTGAATTATGGCACTTCTAACATTCTTAATAAATAAAAAAAAAATATATATAAGAGCCGTAAATACATTTATTTCTAACTTATCAAATATCCAGTAATAATTAGTTTAGTTCGCGTTTCAATGGCGATTGACAAAATCAATAGCTTTAAAGAGCCACTTATCAATACGTTACGCATTTGTTTCAACAAATTAAAAATATGATGTGAAGAAGAAGAAGTAGAAGATCAGAGGATGAAAACAGAGAGGTTAAATAGCTCAGTTAAAGCCATTCAAAGTAACCACTGGGGGAAATTTATACAATCGCTCATCTTGCTCAATAGTCAAGCTGTTTGGGGGGGGGGGGGGGGGCAATTGAGTAGTAAATGTACAGAACAAATGGAGACAAAATAACTTCTACTACTGCACACTCTAAAAAAAAGCCCGTCCGTCTGCTTTCCCGCTGAACACTCCGAGAGTTAATCACCGCAACTTACGGAGGCAGCTCAGCGAATGACGATGCAGAAACATATGTTTAGACAAAAAAACGCAGTCTGAGTTGTGACATTAAGCAATGCAAGCGTGACGTTTTGCATTGCTTAATGTCACAACTCAGACTGCGTTTTTTCGTATAAACATATGCTTCGGCATTGTCATTCGCTGAGCTACCTCCGTAAGTTCCGGTGATTGGCTCTCCGAGTGTTGCGAGTGAAAGTAGACGCACAAACTTTTTTTAGAGTGTGGATGTAATTGTTTGTACTTTATTTGCGTTATCTAACTATTTCTAACTTAAATGCAGGTTGTAGGCTTAAAGGATGACTGTATGAGAGAGGACGAACTGAAATCGATATAATGAAAACAAAACCCTCAAATAATTTTTCGTCATAGTTTAAAAGAATGATCGAGGTTTTGTTTGAAACTCGTAACACTTATTTTACACGATGAGTTACCAGAGATGAAGCAATAGGTTATATTTGGCAGCGCTTCAGATCTCGTGATGAGAAGTGTTAGGCGCAAATTCCGTAGTAGACTTGCGCAAGGTAATATAGCCACTGGATGATAAGCATTTCATAAAAAAGAGTGGCACTCGATGCAACATACAGCCCCCCCCCCCAAAAAAAAAAAAAAAGAAAAACGATTTTTTTTTAGGCAACCGATATGATGCAATGAATGATCTGTTCAAGGGTAAATGTTGCGTAAAATTGACTCTTAAAAGCTTATATCGCTGTAAGTCCACGTTGACGCTAAAGAATGCTGTAGTGAGTCCACGACACAATTCATAGCAGCTCGTCATCTACTAATATTTATGTTAAGTTGTCAATGTGGCAGCATTTGTACCAGTCTTTTCAAGATAATTTCGTATAACCATATTATCATATATTCTTTATTTAATATGTCGTAGTTGTCGGC